CCCCCCCCCCCCGTCAGAACTTTTACGAACCGTACATGTTAACCGTGGGCAGCGGAAGGCTGGATTTAAATTTTCTGGGTAGCACGTGGGCAGGGGACATGCACGCAAAATTTCAGTCTTCCAACTTCCGTGGTTCCCGTGATAATAATTTCCCCCCGCCCTCTCCCTAAACTTTTAGGGAGCCGTACGTATTTACCCGCGGGTATGGAGAGAGGTCGTACGTGGGTGGGAAGCGTTTTCCTAAATTTTCAGCTTTCTAGTCTTTGTGGTTCCCGAGTTGAAAATTGCAGGACAAGTTGCTGCGGACACACACACACAGGCACAGACAACCCCGTGATAAAGCGCACAAAAACTGAATTGGATAAATTTGTGTAACAAGGCAGTGACAAATAACAAGTAGCGGTGTTCGCTTTACATATACAACCTAGTGGGAGGGCGCACCAAGCCATGCGTTTTTGCGGTCAGCTAAACCGGTTCTCCTTCGCACATGACAGAGAACATTCTCTAAAATTTAAGCTTCTCGGCCTTCTTGTCAGTAATTATCTCACCAAAACTCCCGCGCGCTCTAAGTGAAACACAGGTACATTAAGCAGTGAAATCAAAATCTCTCGATAACACGCGGACGTAGAATATGACTTTAAAATTTCAGCTTTCCAGCTTTTTCTAGTTCCCATGCTAGAGATTTTCCCTTTATTGAGAGATTTGCACAGTATTTATTTTTATGAATCATGCGGAATGTCTGTACCAATGATTCTCACCTTTACTCAAATCTGACTGCTGTCTGTGTTTATTGCTGAGGGACGAAACAGGCAGAATGGTTCGATATGCCCCCCAGTTATATGTAAGAAATATACATGTCCACCTGTTTCCCCCTAGTTTCACAATCTCCTCATCTCCTTCCTTCCATTCTTCTGACTTTTGCTTAATACGTCTCATATGTGACTGCATGTGAAATGCAGACGTGTGTGAAGGTTCTTGAAGTCGCACTTAACCTGGAGACTCATTGACAAAATTTTAGCATCTAAGCTTCATTGGCTCGAACAGAAAAACACATACACACAGACAAATACACATACACAGAGTCGTTACAATATTTGTTTCTATGTGTAACGGTCGCACAAAACGCATATCGTCACTCCTCTGCCTGTGTGTATGTGCATTTACGTGATATGAACAAATGCGTTTTATACCGTGTCATCAGCCACAAAACCTATGAAGCGCGTACGGACCCCCATCCCCATTTTGGGGATGGGGGTCCGTACGCGCATATAGATTAAGTCCCCGAAGTTTCAGCCCTGTAGCTTTTGTGGGTCTCGAGATGAAAAATCGGTACAGACGCGCAGCGTATACACAGACACATTCACACACAGACAACCTCTCGTCAACATGCGTTTTTCGCATTGCATAGCTGCAGAGAACACATAAAAAAAGAAGGTGACTGCAGCAAAAATTTGATTACCTGCAACTGTAAGTTTTCCATGTGTTTTTGCAGATTCCCGTCATACTCTTGAAAAACCTCGCGCTGTATTGCTTTGCGACGCGCTTCTCGCTCCTCCACCATCCGTTCCAGTAGAGCGATTTCCTGATGCTGTAGTTTCTCTACGAACGGTTTCGCAGATGGATATCTCCCATTGAGCACGTTCGAACCAGGCGATATCCCGAACCACGATTTTGGATCGCTCTCATCGTACTCACTTAAACGAGCATCATTATTGGCTTATTTGAGAGAAATTAGGCGCCCTGCAGAAATCAGAGTTAATTCGTTGAAATGGTCGACAGACTGCGTCACTTAATTATACTTACCAAAGCACCCAATTACATACAAACACTTAACAATTAATTGTACACCTGACCAAGTAATTGAACATATCCTTTTAATTATATTTTTTCCACCGTGTGCGCTAAAAATTTCACGTGCCATGTACACCTACACGTATATATCCACATTCACCCACATACACACACGCACATCCATACACACGCACCCATCTTTATGCCTATATTGCCCCGTTTATTTGTACATGGCACAAAAGCGCATAAAACCCGTAAAGTGTGACAGAGATCAGCCCACTTCCGATCGGATTCCTTGTCGGTGGTGAATGGATCCCTAGCCACTGAATATCCAAAATACGGTGCGTGGCACTCACTTCCCATTTTTTCAGCAATTTTTGCCTTCCATAACAACCTGCTTATAGTGGTGAACGATGGCACGAAGTCTTTTTTCCATGCTAAGCCGATCGTAGCGTCCAGGTTGATTTTGGGTGTAAAAGTGAGGAAGGTAATTTGTTCTTTCCGAGGGTAGCAGTGTTTAGAATGCTCACTCTACTGCGCCACTCATGATGTGCGATCGAGATCTTCCTCTTCTACAGAGGATACCACAGGACACAAAGTTGAAGTAACCCAGAGGCAAAATTAGCGTCCCCGGCAGAGCACATCTCACGCACGAACACAAACAGCAGGGAATATTTTCCTAAAATTCCATCTTCTCCGCTTTTGTGGTTCCTGTGCCAGTGATTTTGGTGCCAAAGCTTTCGTGCATCTATCTGTATATAAGATCTGAGCTTATGTAGAAGCTGAATTTAAATTTGCGGGACCGCATGTGGGCAGGGAAAACTCTACCAAAATCTCTATCTCGTAGCTTTTGCGGTTCCCGACTTAGCAATTTCGTCAAAAATTTCACACGAACGTACATGAGGACAGACAAAGGTAGACGCTGGATATAACTATGCGGGACTTTGGGTAAGGGACATTCTTCTAAAATTTCAGCTTCTTACTTCTGTGGCCCCACAGCTGAAAAGCAGAGACAAAATGCACGCACGCACGCACAAACACGGACACAAACACGCACACATACATACATACACATATACACGCAGAAGCATGACAATATACGTTTTGCAAAACTGTCACAGCACAAACCGCATAAAGATGGGAACAAGCTTCAGAAGTTTCAGCTTCCTAGCTTCATCAGTTGCTGAGCTGAAAGTGGATAAGAGAAAAGTGAGAATACACATACACACATACACACACACACACACACACACACACACACACCGGCAACCTATCTTTCGTCAATATTCGTTTTTGCATTTTTATAAATGTGCAAAAAAGCATAAAAAATGAAAGGAACTTGTCCCGGCTTACAGTTCTTCTTCATCGATCCCAAAGTGATTGGTTTCGAAACCGAATCGCGCTGGCATTGTTTTCGTATTGCTTGAGTGTGGTAGTTTTCGTGCGAAGCTGCAAAAAACGTTTGAAAAGAAATATTTTCGAACGCCGAGGTACATAGAGAGTAAATGTGGAGATGGACATGACGCAGTAAATAATTGGCCAGCGCACTGACTGCCGGTGCAAAGATGCATTTTTGCACAGTTCCCCGCAGGTTTTCTTCGCTGTGAAAATTTCTGACGGGTAAATTTTTCCCTTTTTCGGACAAATGCTTCTAGCCAAAAGAATTGAGACTGGCCAATAGAACTGTCAGAAAGCATCACCTTGAAGTTTCAGCTTTTTAGATTTTCCAGTCCCCAAGTTAGCAACTTACCTGTCAGAAATTTTCACAGATCTGTACGCGGGAACCACGTGGGCAACAGCGTTCATTTTGGGGGAAGGGATCCGTTCACAGATGTAGATTAGGTTGCCAAAATCTTAGCCTTTTAATTTTTCTGGATCTCGAGATGAAAAATCGGTACAGGCGCGCATACACAGACACAGACACACACACACACACATGCAAGCCTTCGAAAATATGTGTTTTTGCATTGCATAGATGCAAAAAACCTTAAATCAAAAGCCAAAATCGAAACCCCCCCTACCTCCCCGACCCACATATTCGGTATCTTTGAGGAACGGAGACACTTGAGAAGTAGTCCAAGCAATATAAGACGTCAAGAGCAGCCACCTGCAGACTGGGGCTGCTTGCTGATGGCGACTTTAACTGCCTGAAGTGTGCCCCCACCACTGAATGAGTGGCAGAGGAATTTGCCTATGAGAAACAACAACACTGCTACTTCGGATCTGCCCACGGACATTTGATAATAAATATTGGCAACTGATAAAACTCGGCTCGGCTTGTCTATGCAACATGCCTGCGGGCTCGGAAGCGAAACACGTGGCACGTCTAGGTACGAGTGCAGCACCATCTTTCAGGACGGGCATGAAAAACCCGAGGGAACCTCCCTACGAACTGTACTCTTGTCTTCGAAGCGAGACCTCAGCTCCCTTACACTTAGTAATCTCGCCATTTTCCCTCCGTTATGAACCAATGGGACCTAAATCAGCTCTCCCCCGCCCTAATCCTCCATTTGCACCCCCAATCGACGGCTTGTCTCTCGGCCTACTCCAGCCAGCTCGAACTTCAGCAGTTGCAATAAGCGCTAGCAATTGGCGGACACTAAAACTCGGCGTGACTGGGTTGCGGAGGCGAAACGAGGTTAGGTGTCAGAGAGTCATTAACAGGCGAATGATGAGGGTACTGACCGAA